GTATCCCGAAACCGCGCTGTCATACCTACGCGTCGAACATACACTACAAAGTATTCCGTTGAAAGCTGATTGTAATTTACTTTAATGGTTAAAACATTTTTCGATCCAAATGTATTCTTTTATATCTCTCACTCATTTTTTCTCGCGTAGTATCAACATTTCTCCCAAAATTTCCCAAAACAATCTGACGCTAAGTAGTACTATTTAACATATGCAAAATCATCGAAATCGCTCTCACCACGACGTATATTGCGATTAGATTGGATGAATTCACGCGCGTAAACGTCTGTTTTATTGTGCTGTGACCCATCTTGACCGAGTGATGCAAGGTTCTTGCCACCCAATGCCCGCTTAACCACAGCGTGCGACAATCGTCGGCGCGCGACATGCGCACAGGCACGGATTGGAGTCCGGCGCAAACATTCTGATAAATTTAGTTCACTAGGCAGTCTCAGCCGAATTCGGTTGCAGTCGCTGCGCGGAATCGTATGCCGTAATGATTCACGGCATAATTATGAAAATGACTAATACATGCTGAAAAAGGCTAAAAATAATAGATTTAGGGAAATTAAATGTTTTTAAAAATGCGTGATTTTCACTGAACAATTCTCTATTACAATCATCTTATTCAGAACATAGGTCACCACTTCGGATGTGTTCACGCCACCAAAAATATCTCGAGTCGAATTGCATTGCTACTTATGGTGGACGGAAAAGCGTCACAACTCATATAAATACTAATTTCAATTGTCAAGAAAAGCTTTACATTTCCTACTTGACCAATTATCTAATCTTATTAAATTCTTATTAGAATGTGTGTGAAAAATCTAAGTGGCGTTGGCTCACGAGATTAAGTGGTTAAGCACATCTTCTAAAATCTGCGTAGTAGGTCAACACTAATAATCTATAAATAAGATATCTTCTAATTTTCATATATGCTACAAATTATGTTACGTATAAAACCAATTACTGCGGGCAATTGCGCCACGGCACAATCCCTCATAGCAACGCCTTATATCAATTATTAAGTAGGCGAACCTTGTTGATAGATCCTCGGCGTGATGAAGGGATGTTATGAACAAAGCAGCGTAAGCATGTTTTTTTACTGCAGCTCGCAATCTCGCTATCTCCATACCATCCCTTAATCGTACTTTACTCATCAACAACGTCTTAGTTTGATAACCTGCTTACTAAAGCGCGCGTGTTACAATAACAAAATTGCTCCCTTTAATACACGCTTTGATAAAAATTTTCTACATGTTATAATTTCGGTTCAAATTTCACTATCCAATCCTGCGATTTGACATAAATGATTTATGGTTAACAGGATTTCGTGTTATTAATTACAACAGTTGTGTATCTAATAATAACTAAGACGGACATACCGAAAAAAATAACAGACTCAAAACATAATACCAATTTTTCATTATGTCGAACGCGATAAAATCCAATTCCAAACCAGAATGGCTCACTGCTCTCTCGTTTACAAAAAAATGCGAAACAACATCGCCATACTCGATTTGTTGCTCTTTAGCACTATATCTACAGCAACCAAATGTGTCAGTCCGAAGACTTGACACTTATCTTTACTTTCATGAATGTCGACGCACTGTACTCCGATTTCGGACCAGAATTGCCACCACATCTTCAGGTGTTTTCAATTGCAAATGCGTAAATCATTTACAATTTTACTGGTAGTTTTCTCCCGGTAAAAAAATCTGGATCGGTAGCGCTTCTGATCTTATCAGAGACATACATCAAAGAAACATGTTAATCCTTTTGGTTCAGACCAACCTCTATTTCGTTTATTCTCCACTCACCCTACCAAATACGTCTAAAAGAATGGTTATATAACTCGTGGAGCCTAAAAACGGCGGAATTTATTACTTTCTGCTAGTCCTCCTCCATTCTACTTCGAATGAAATCTACCTTCGTAAACTGTCGACTGTAGAGAATCCTAAGCGCATGTTATCCGGGCAAACAGGACGAATGGAGCTGAGCGTATCGGGGAGGGGACTGAGGCAGCGGCGCTGAAGCAGGCGGAGCGAAGAGAGCAAGGCGGCACCAAGCTGGATAAGAATAAAACAAATGTACTACTCGCTCGTATTACATCTGAACGTAAATTTATACCGGCTTTATTACTCGGATTCTACAGGAGTGGTTTCCTCCGATATCAGGATTGTTTCCTGAGCCCTTACCATCTCTCTAGTTCCTGGCGGCTTTGATCGAATGGAGACCATTTGGCTGATATACACAGGGGAATTGCGAGACGGTTATAGGACACGCAAAGGATGTAGGTATGCAATGCTGACCCTCCGCCTTAGCACAGGATCCAAGACGTATTCTAATCTTTTGTACTAATTCATCCTATTAAATAAAAAAATAAAATTAACATAAATAAAAAATAAATAAATAAATAAATAATAAATAAATAAATACTAATAAAAATAATAATAAAAAATATAAATTAAATAAATAAATAAATAAATAAATAAAATAAATAAATAAATAAATAAATAATAAAAATAAATAAATAAATAATACTAAAATAAATAAATAATAAATTAATAATAAATAAACAAATATAAATGAAAAATAAAACAATAAATTAAATAAATAATAACAACCAATTCTGGAAACGTATGACCAATGCTGCTGTCACGACGCGCGCTGAGTAACACCTCTTGAGCCACGTTGACGGCCTACTTCTCAGCGCTTCCCCGCGTGTGACGCCCTTGCTCCGCGTGCCGCCGACTCGCACACCAAGAAGGACCGGAAGTCGGTCGGTCGATGCGAGCCATTTCATGCCACCATCCATTTACGCCATAACGAAATGGAGCGTGTTCCGGTGAATAATCTTAGACAAATGAACTCGCGAACTGGTCATGGAGTCTTAACGTGCTCTGAGCTCGACATCACCCTCCGTCACGCTGATGCACCCTCTGAGTTTCCTTGGCTCCTCTCGGCGCGTTCCTCAACACTCACACTATGCCGCCATCATCAACACTCAACCATTCAATTCACTAGTAGATATCCCTCAAACATTCATCACACTATTCAAATCATCAGCCTCAGATTCATCACTGCCGCTCATCGCCATCTCATCACCTCATCCCCCCTCCCCAAGATGAAGACTCTGTGTGTTTAACACCTTCACAAACTCTAATTCCTGAGAGAGTGCTACATTTACCATTTCATCTAAGACCAAGATTTACATTAGAATTTGTTTCTCAGC